AATCTTTATATGTAGATGAAATGATCATCTACAGAGAAAATACTAAGAAATCTCTAGGAGCCCCTAGAACTTGTACTTAAATTTAGCAGGATTAGAAAACACAAGGTCTATATAAAAACTGAATTGATGAATTTCTCAGATGGACTGAATTTAGGGTCTTCTGGAAGAGAGGAGACAGGTATGATGTGGAGATAGCAGACCGCCACAAGAGGGCCCTCGTTTTTCATACTTGGCTATCTTCCAGTCATTCCTCATTTCAGAATTAATTGAACATAAATCCATGTCTTCATTATAATCTGGTTGTCATACAATTATTTTTCTGAAAATTTTGCTTTTCCTCTCCCCACTGTTTGGACCTTGGCAAGTAACTTTGAATTTTGGAGGAAAGGGAGATGCTGTGCCTTGATGGTGCTATGGGGCTGGGAGCACAGGACTCACCTAGGCCCTGATACAGTGCACCTGTCATCTAGGGTCCCGGCCCTTCCTTAGCACTAAGTAGACAGTGATGTGCAAAAGAGATATGATCACAGCTCTCTGAGATTTTAAGAGTCTAATCTTTTAAACCAACACTTGTGTGGGGCTTACCATGTGCCATGCTTTGTTCTAAATACTAAATTGGCCCACTTCAGCCTGAAGTGCTATTAATATTTCTATCTTGCATACAGAAAAACTTAAGCACAAAGAGATTTTATATCTTGCCAGGAATGTCCCAGCTAGTAGGAGAAATGAAATTCTAAACTAAGTATTCTGGCCTCAGAGGCAGTTTGTTTGTTTGTTTGTTTGTGTTTTTAATCTTTCCATTAAATTTATTGGTACGTTTTAGGTATACAATACAGTTACATTCATCATGGGATCTCGTACCTTTACATGAGTATCTTGGTTCGTATTTTTTCCGCATTCCCCTGCCCTCCCTTCACCCTCTTCATCCTTCCCTATCTACAAAGACTTTGTCTCCATTTTTTTCCTTTTCTCATATTTTTTCTTTTCCCTTCTTTCCTTTCCCCTACCCCTTCTACTTGCCTTACTCCTTTAGACCTTTTCTTTCTATTACACAATATCAATTATACATTTTTTAAAAATTACAATATCAAGATTTAGAGGACATTATCACACATTTTACAGAATTTAAAAGGATATAGAAAGCATATTACAAAAGTCTTTTTTGAAATAAATTTGACAACTCCTATGAAGTACTTTGGAAGACAAATTAATGAAACTGACTCTGGAAGAAATATAAAACTTGAATAGCACCTGTTAAAGAAAGTATATTCTTAGCTTGAAAACCTACCTATATGACAACACGGGCTCATATACATTTTAACTGATAAATTATATCAAACATTTACAGCAGAAAAAAGAAGGAACACATCTCCCCTCATTTTAGGAACTCAACATTGTGCTAATCCTAAAACTGGATAAAGATAACAGAAGAGAAAAGTATGAATAAAGAAAACATTTGTTTAAAAAAGCAAACTATTAGAAGTCAGATCTGGCAGTATGTAGTAAGTGGTTTTATTATAGGGATGGCAGAGTCGGTTCAGGATTGGAAGATCCACCCTCATAAGTCATCATTTTAACAGAGGAAAGGAAAAAGCCATATGATCCTATCAGTAGTTGCAGAAAAAGTATTGGACTAAATTCTACAGCTGTTCATGGTAAAAGCTATCAGGAGCCTAGAAGTAGAACAGAACCTTCTCAGCAGATAAAAGACATGTACTCCATGCTTCCAGCAAAAACACCTTATGTGAGTGGAAAAAGATACAATGCTTTCTCCCTAAGATTAGGAACTAGGGCAGATATGCCTACTCTTCATCTGTCCATTAAACTTTGAAACACAGGCCTAACCCAAAATAGTCTGGCAATAGAAAATAAACTAATAGCATAGGATTGGCAAGGTATAAGTAAAATCTTAGTAGGTTGATGAAATGATCATCTACAGAGAAAATACTAAGAAATCTCTAGAAGCCCCTAGAACTTGTATTTGAATTTAGCAGGATTAGAAAACACGAAGTATATATAAAAATTCAGATCTATATATACTTGCTATAAATGAAGAATTGGATATTGAAAAAAAATTTTTTTTTTGTACTGGGGATTGAACTCAGGTCCTTCCGCTTGTGGAGCAGGCAGAAGAACTACTGAGCTAAATCCCTGGCCCTGGATATTGAAATTTAAAAGTTATGTAGGAGTAGAAAGGACCTGGAAAAGTAAAAAAAAGATAACAGTGTTGGAAGACATTTATTACCTAATTTTAAGACTTCTTCTAAAGCTACAGTAATCAAGGCAGTGTTGGGGTAAGGAAAGACATATAGATCAATGAAATAAAACAGAGAATCTGGAAATAGAACCACACATATACGGTCCACTGATTTTTGAAAGATCATTTAACATTAACATTTTATAGAACATGATCTGAACTCAAGAGCAGAGGAAAAGATAATGTTTTCAACAAATGGTACTAGAACATCTGGTATCTGTATGTAAAAAATTAACCTCAACCCTTTATTTCCATACATAAAAATAACTTGAAAGGATCTAAGAACCTAAATATGAAAGACTAAAACTGTAAAACTTTGAGAAGAAATTATGAGGGAAAATGTTCAAGAATTTAGGGTAGGCAAGAATTTCCTAGGATACAAAAAACATGATGTAGAAGAGAAAAAATTGATAAATGAGATTCCATCAAAATTTAGAACTTTAAAAGACATCATTAAGAAAATGAAAAGTAGTCCTTAACCAGAACATATTTATAATACATATAACCTATGACCAGAATATATGAAGAACTCTTATAACTCATTAATAGACAACTCAATTAAAAAGTAGACCCAAGAAGATGATAAATAGCCAGTACAGCACAAGGAAAGGTGTGCCACACTAGAATCAGAAAAATACTAATCAGTACAACAATAAGATCTTATTATACACTCATTAGGGAGATTAAGTTAAAGGTTTTAAAAGAACAAATGTCAGTTTAGATGTGAATCAGTTAGAACTTTCCAATACTCCTAATGTGAATGTAAAATAATAAAACCATTTTGGAAAACAATATAGAAATTTCTTGCATTACTATTAAGAACAAACAGTTCTGTTCTTAAGGTTTTTTTACTTAAGAGAAATGAAAACATATGTTCAGAATAGATTTGTACATACAGGTTGACTGTCCCTTATCTGAAATTCTTGGGGACCAGAAGTGTTTCAGATTTTGAAATCCACTTGACCTCCAAAGAGGATGGCTACTCCTGCTTTTTTTCGGGTTTAACTTTCAATCTATGAGGTTTTTTTTTCTAATTAAGTGTGTTTGTTGGATGCAGCATATTGTTGGATCTTGCTTCTTGACCCATTCTGCCAGTCTATTTCTTTTGATTGGTGAATTGAGACCATTAATATTGATAGTTATAACTGATACATATTATCATTGTCATGACTTTTTCTTTTTGTTGGATTCTTACCCCTTTGCATTTTGTTTCTGGTTGTGCCTGATGGATTCATTTTGCTGGGCTTCCTGGGGTTGTGAGCCTCATTGTCTTTCCCTGGGATATTGTCTAAAATTTTTTGGAGTGCTGGTTTGGTATTCATGAAGTTCCTAAGGTGCTCTTTGTCATGAAAGTATCTTATTTCTCCATCAATTTTGAAAGATAGTTTTGCAGGGTACATCAATCTGGGTTGGAGGCTGTTTTCCTTTAGGGCTTGGAATACGTCACTCCAAGCTCTTCTTGCCTTGAGGGTTTTCATTGAGAAGTCTGCTGTGATTCTGATGGGCTTTCCTTTGTATGTGATTTGTTTCTTTTCTCTAACTGCTTGTAGAGTTTTGTTCTTCTGTTGGGTTTCTGGAATCTTAACTATTATATGCCTATGTGTAGATTTTTTTTGGATCAAGACTAGTTGGAGTCATACATGCCTCACTTATCTGTATGTCAAGTTCTTTTCCCCTGTTTGGGAAGTTTTCTGCCATCACTTCTGTGAACAGGGGTTTTTTTGTTGGGTTTTTTTTTTTTTTGTCATATGCACTCTCTCCTGTTTCTTCATTGACTCTGATCACTCTTATGTTCTTTTTTTGCATCATCTGGCAGCTGCTGGATTGATTTTTCATGATCCCTTAATCTTTTAAAGAAATTTTTCTTTTCCTGGTCACTAATTGCAATCTTATCTCCTATGTCTGAAATTCTGTCCTCACATTGGCTCATTCTGCTGCATAAACTTTCAATGGAGTGTTTAATGTCCTGGAAATCTGTTTGCATCCATTTTATGGATTCCATTTGTTTCCTATGTTGGGATTCCATCATGTTTCTCAGCTCTTCCATTTTTTTTATCTGTGTCTGCTCTAGATTTATTAATCATGTCTTCCACCATGGGCACAATCTCTGCTGTTATTTGAGAAATTATTTCTGATTTCATTTTTTCCAGATCCTCTTTTGTTGCCAGTTCAGGGAGTCCAGGTGGTTGCACATCAGATTGTTCCATCTCACTGCCCCTTGGGGTTGCCTTAGGTGATCTGGAAGTCTGGTTTTGAGGCTTGTTTACGTGTCTTCTCATTTGAACAGATGCAGCCTGCTGTGCCTTTGTTGAGGCAACTTTTTGCTCACCCAGTTGTCTTCAGTTCTCAGCAAGCCACAAAGCTGCCTTTTCTCTGCTGCTCACCAGTACACTAATTCCTGGGTTCTGAAAGGTGGCCTTCTGAATCTCTGAGCTGACCTGTTGTCTGAGTGAGCTTCTGGCTGGGGCCTGTCCACACTTGGGATGGTATCTAGGTGTGCCAAATGACTAGGGCCCCTATGTAGCTATTGTCTGGGAGGGTCTTTGGTTGGGGGCTGTGGACCCCAATTCCTATTGTGTGAGCAAACTTCTGGCTAGGGTCTCATGCAATTACTGATGGTATTGGAGCAAACCTCTGGCTGTTGCTTATGTGCCTGTGCAGCTCTTTTCCAGGCAGGCCCTTGGTTTGGGCTGGTGTGCCCCAGCCTCTGGGGTTGAGGCAGAGCCCTGGCTGGGATCTGCTTGGAGCTGCACTGCTCTGATCCACACCATTGCTTCCTCAACTAAGTTGGTCTGGTGTGCTTTTGTTGCAGAGATTTTCTTCACTTTTCTGGTGGGCTTTAATTTTCATCAAGGGGTCTCAGAGAAGCCCTCTTTCTGTTGTTCACTTCTACTCTATCTTCTCAAGCTCAGAACAATGTCCTTTATGACCCCTACAACTCTGCAGTGTGGATCCAGGTAATGGCTCGGCACAGCATGGCGGGGGTGGGGTGGGGTGGTGTGATGGTCAGAGAGGCTCACCTCCTTGGTGCTCTAGGGTAGTGGTGAGAGGCAGTGTTTTTTAACTTCTGTGTCTTTCTACCTCTTCAGTACTAGCCAGTATGTCATTCTAGCTGCTGGAACAAACAATCCCCAACCCTCTGTGCCTTTATACAACAGTATAATTTCCCACCAAATCAATAAGGGGAACCATTCTGTTCCTAGATGTCATTAGAAACTCAGGCTCTCACTGCTTCTGGTAACTTCTGGAAACTCCACTATTCCCTGTGAGCCCTATCCTGAATCCTGTGCAACTGGTTCCTAGGTGAGGAGGAGGAGGCATAAAGCATTATATTGCAGTTGTTCAGGACCAGGCGTACACATGGCATAGATGACTTCCATCCATATGTCACTACCCAGTTTCAGTCACATGATCCCAGCTACCTCAGTCTGCTTTCCTTTGCCCAGAAGAAAATGAAAATGGTGGTACAAGCCTATAATCCCAGCGCTCTGGAAGGCTGAGGCAGGAGGATCACCAAGTTTGAGCCCCAGGCAGAGCAACTTAGAGACTTAGCAAGACCCTGTCAAGAGAGACAGAGAGAGAGAGAGAGAGAGACTGATGATTAGACAGTTTTGCCTCCACCATGTCATTCACAGGAGTCGTGACTCAGATTAGATGAAGCACATGACAAAGAGGACAGCTCACGTGTGTTACCAAGTTGCAAAGCTCAATGCTTGACTGTCATGTCTCCTGTGTTTCAGGGTTCCTGGTGGCCTGGCCCATGTTCCTCCTGCCTGTCCTCCTGGCGTGGCTGTTCTAAGAGATCAGTTGAGTGTCTGGCCTTGAAGTCCAAGTTCTTCATCCTGGCAGTGCCTTCTGTTCTGAGGGAGGAGCTTGCCCCTCCTTTGCCACTCCTATGCCTTTGTATTCCTCTTCTCCTCGCGGTGGGGGTCCTGTCAGCCTGTCCTGGGACGAGTTTTGATTTTCTTATTCACTAGTGGTAGCTTGAAAGCAAATTTTCTAGGTGTGTCTGTGGCACTATTCTTCACCGGAATGGTATGTTGATAACTCCAGGCAGGAAGTGAGCATCCTGTCACTGGGTGGGAGCCAGTGAGCACAAGAAAGAGGGTCCTCCATGAATCCTCCCCAAGTGCCTCCTGCCGTACTGTGAATGAATCAAACAGACCACCCTTGCATTCTCTCTGCCTCCTTTGATGTGTTTCCATTTTGGTTGCACCAGTTGCTGTGGGAACATGAGGGCCACTTAGGGAGATTCCCACAGGGAGGGCTGGTCTTGCTCCTCCTCTGTCCTCCACCCCACCACAATGACTTGCTTAGCACAACACAAGTTCTAACCCCTGGGACTCAGATATTGGAGGACCTGCCCGACTTTGATGCAGAGGCCTATCACCTCCAAAAAACACCTCTTGCTGTTATACTAGTTGCACACTTGCTGTGGAGGGTGAAGCAGGGAATCCCAGCAGAAAAGGATACACTGATTCTGCTGTGAGACTGTAGCAGAAGAAACTGGGACATAAGCAAATGTCCCTCCTGAAGAGCTTTGGCGAGGACTCTTCAAAGGTACCAATGGGAAAGCTTCCCCTTCCCACAGCTACACATTGGGCCTCTCTGAGCTGGCCTCAGGGAAAAGTCAGGAGACAGGGTGAGACCTATATGTCTACTGGGAGGAGAGTTTACAATGCCCTCCCTTTTCTAGAGAGGGTCTGGTTGCAAGAAACAGAAACCCACTCCAACTCAGGAAAAAGAGGAATCAATTCTAAGGATATAAAAGCACACATCCAAGGACAAGAAATATATCCTGGCTGTCCCAGAACTGGCAGTGGCATCAGGAAAACTATGGAACATGAAGTTTGTCTGATTTTCCACCTGTCACTGTTCCTGAGGTTGTGTAGCTTGTTGTACCTGCTGATCTTTGTGTGTCTCCCTCTTCCTCCCCTTTCTGGAGCCAGATCTCCCTGTTCATCCATCCTTTGACTGAAAGGGACATTTCACATCTATTCTCAATTTAGGCACCAGCAGAGACTGACTAGCACCTTGCTTTCCCAGATCCAAATTTCCCCAGAGGACTCCAAGTTCACTGCTGGGGTCAAATTGCTTCCTCTGGTCCATAGACCTGAGGCCCGGGTTTGTGGGACCAGCTGGCCCAACAGCTGATCTGACAGGGCTGGTATCAAACAATGGCTGCTTCTTAAACAGACATCACACAAAGCCAGAGATACTGGCTTCTTTAAGAGAGGAGTTTCTGTTTCCAAGTAAGTTAGAGGATCCATACCTTCTGCATTCCAAGGTAAAAAGAGTAGAAGGAGAAGGCCTGAAAGAGAAATCAGGAGGTTCTAATCTTTCCCCCTGTGAAGCTCTGCTTCTTTCTTCTGTAGAATAAAAAGGGTTGGGCTAGAATAAGGTTGTCAAACATTTAAAATATGGAACCCTTCCTTAAATGTAATTCTATATGGACATCCAATATATACAAATCCAAAGCAAATAGAGTTTTGCTGATGTCAGGTAGGGGGCTGAGCTTTTCAGTCTTGCATTCCTTGGGTCTCAAAACAACTCTACAATAATGACAGCAACAATGGTTTGGAACTTCCTGGGACATATGGGCTTGAATATTTCTTCCAGAATAAAGTGCATGGGAGTTCACTTAACTAGAGCCAACCCTGTCTGTCTGTCTGTCTGTCTATCTATCTATGTATCTATCCATCCATCTACCTATCCATGTACCGATCTGCCTATCATGACAGCTCTGTCTATCCCCTAGTTATCCCCTTCTTAGGAGAAAATGCTGAATAACAATCCCTAAATAATCAGTCTCTGTCATTCATTCAGTCAACACAAATTTGCTGGGCTACTGCTATATTCCAGGTCCAGGGGCCCAGGTATGAACATGAATAAGACATAGTCCTTTCTCTTAGAAGGGTCCAGCAGACCACACCAAACACATAAACTCGCTGACCCTCAGACCCAAGTCCTTGTGTGCATCGATGACTCTAACCATGACAGCAAACACTAACAGACACACATACCAAGCTCGTATGCCTAAGGGCACCTCTGCACATGCACACACACGCACACACACATACACATTCTCACAGCCACACATGAACACACATTCTCACACACAGCCACACTTGGACCCTGCAGCCCAGCCACTTATATATTTAGTGCTGTGAATGATTTTGTAACAACCAACGGTTTTTGACATGCCTTCCTTATTAGGCATTTTTTCAAGTGCATTATGGACATTCTATCATCCAACCATCACCATAGACATTGAAGGTAAGTATTAGTATTATCTGCAACTTAAAGATGAGTAAACCAAGGCTCAGAGGAAATAATCACTCACCCAGGAGTCTATAGCTTTTAAGAGCTGAGTTCAGGGCTTGAACCAGACTTTGGGGCATATGATCTAAACTAAACGCTGTGTTCTACCTCTGCTTATATGACACAAACACATACATATGTAATATAAGGAACGATTAACAAATATGGTGAAGGTTTAAATTTTTAAAACGTATTACAGTAAAAGACATGTTATCATTAATTTCCCTCCCCCACTTTGAGTGCACTTATCCCATTGTTCTTGCCACTTTCTGAAGCAGCTCTGGAAGTCCTGTTTTGTGAGTGTCTTTAGTTGCACTGTCCTGGCTGCCTCAATGTCCTGAATTAATTCCAAATGTTTACTTTTCATGGTCATTTTGACTCTGAAGAAGAGTCACAAGTTTCACAGTGCCAGATTGGTAAATCAAGTGGGTGAAGACACACTGTGATGTTGGCCACATTTTGTGTATGTATACAGGCATATGGGTACACATATATACTGACATTCCTATGTAGACAGACACACAAATTTGGCAACAGGGCCCCTCACATATACACAGGCATTGACATTTATGGACATACAGATGTACACTGACATGCATGCATGGTTGTTTAGATGCATACATATACACAGATCTGCACATACAGCTTAATATAGAACTGAATACATGAACTCTCATGTGTGATACTCAAGAATGCGCATGCACTTATATAAATGAACACACACACACACACACACCTACATGACACAGGACTTGGATCTAACTTCCTGTGAGTCAAGCAGGACTCTAGTCATGTCTCTCCTCTCTCATTGGCTTTCTTCTCCCTCACCCTAAGTGCTACCCAGCTGGGTACTGAGCAAGGAAAAGTCCAGCTCAGGGGGAAAAATGAAAATGTACTCTGGACCCAGCATCTGGAAGTTCAGGATCAGACAGACAATGGGGACAGTGAGAAGGAACCTGACTCACATCATGGGCAGTGGCCTCGCCGTCCTGAGGGAGCTGCCAGGAGCTGGTGGAGAATCAAGGGGTGTTTCAGAGACCAGCCCTGCGGGAATTTAAAGTCTACTTTGGGGCGGTGGTGCGGGGAGGGCATGCAGACTCTAGGCAATAAAGGCTAAGGAAAGTAAGACTGAGGCTGACACTGCTACTGCTGCAGAATACTAGAACCAGGAAACAGAGGGCACCCAGAGGTCTGGAGACAGTAAACAGCTTTATTTACACCAGTGGACCTGACCAGGATCTTTCCCCAAAGAAGTCAGGCCCAGAATATTGGCAGGCCAGCAGTTTTATAGGGTTGCAAGCAGGAGGTACAGAAACAGAAGCAGAGTATTTGGCAGTCTTTGGTTGGTTAGTTATTTGTCATTTTTTACATCTACAAGGCTTAATTCCATTGGAGTTTCCCTGGAAATGTAGCAAGCAGGGTTTACACAAAACAGAGCAGCAGAGAGGGGCAGAGCAGAGTTCTGGCAGGACTTTCTGAGTTTGTTCTGCTCCTTTGGTGACAAATTACAGAACTTGTCATGGTTACTCAGGTACATTCTACAAAGTCACCTAGTTAACCCATAGTTGCTTAATAGCACAGTTAACTCAACATTGCCAATTTAGTTATTTTTTGTTAGAAATATATGCATCTGCCTAGAAATTCCCTTTCAGTACAAGATGCAGAGAAGAGAGAGCTCAGCCTAGCCTGCGGGGAGAGGTCAGCCTAAACCCCAGTGAGTTTAGTCCTTTCATTTTACAGACTGAAACTGAGGTCCAGCAAGGAGCAGTCATTAACCCCTCACAGAGTTGTGACCAGGTGGGCGTGAAGCAGGCGGGGGGAAAGCACAGACAGTTTTCTGAAGGAAATTTGGATCGAAGAGGGTCAGATCGCCCAACCTAATCCTTTTAAGCATTTCTCCACTTTTCCTCCCTCTCCTCCAACCTCTTTCTCCATGAAGGGCTGGAAATCACCCTTATTTTCGTTTATCATCATATTAGATTTTCCCTTCTAAAACTCCATTAAATCCATCCACTTTCTGCAACCCTGTTGACCCTGACCTTTTCTAAGTTGCTGTCCTCTCTTACCTGGGCCCCTGTAATTAGAGCTTTTGAGCTGTCTTGCTCCAGGAGCTCACCCTCCTCTATCCTGCAACTCATAAGCACTTAAAACAAAAGTCACTTATTTTTTTCCAGTTCTTCCACCAGCTCCTTAGCTTCTATGGACCTAGCTCTGCCTGTCTACCTGGCAGACCGGGTCCTCCACCATCTGAGGCACTGCCTGACTTGCCAGCCTTACCCTCTGTGCGTATCCCCTGCATAACCTACATTCCAGCCTCACCACCTTTCTCAGAGTTCCCTGAGATTCTTTTATTTTTTGCAGTACTGGGAATTGAGCCTACACCCTTCACACTAAGCTATGTTTTTAGTCTTGTTCTTGTTTTTTAAATTTTGAGACAAGGTCTCACCAAGTTTCCCACGCTGGGTTCTAACTAGTAATCCTCCTGCCACAGCCTCCCAGAGTGTGAGGATTACAGGCTGTGCTATCATGCCTAATCTGAGCTGTTCTGCTTCACCTCATCCTACTGGGGTGCCAACTTCAGACTCCGTTTTGGTATGCTTTCTGTTGTGATCTTCCTGTCCAGTCTAGAATTGATCACACCTCACATTGCGAGCCCTTCTCTACAGACTTTTATTATAATATGTGTAATCTGCAAATGAGATGATCTATTTTTACATCTACCCTACTCTCAGACAATTAGCTTCTTGAGGACAGGGACTTTGCCATATTCAAACATTATTGGCTGAATAAATGAAGAAGCATGCTAACTTCATTTCTTTATTCCTTGACCCCCTAAACAATTAATGTTGTTGTCTTCTG